GCCCAACCAGGGACTGCTCCTAGGGATTGGGCCTGCCCCATTCCCCCAGGGAGCAGGCCTAAGCCAGCACGTGGTAATCCCCTGAGGGATCCTAAACTGTGAGAGGGCACAGGCCTGGCTGAGATACCCCCTGAAGTGCACAAATTTTTGTGCACCGGGCCTCTAGTAAATAAATAAATTTTTGGAAAAACAACTTTGCTTCCAGTACTCAAACCTATGGTTCCATATGGCAAAGAAGTCATGGAGTCATTGAGGCATGAGTGAAATTCAAACATATGTATTAGATGCTACACAGGACCCCTTCAGTTTAAAATAATAAATTTATTTAAACAATTTGAAAAGATGCTGAGCTGACATTTTAACAAAAGAGATAAAGACAGTATAAATAAACTCATGAGAAAAACACTCACCATAAAAATTTCTTACATAAATGGGTTCCAGGGCTACTATTTAAAAAGGTTAACCACTGGAATTTTTAAAAAATATATATTTTATTGGTTTTTTACAGAGAGGAGGAGAGAGGGACAGAGAGTCAGAAACACTGAAGAGAAACACCAATCAGCTGCCTCCTGCACACTAAGTAAACGTATGAGAAAACACTCACCATAAAAATTTCTTACATGAATGGAATTTAAACAAAAGTGAGTTAACACTATATTCTTTTCCAGGGCTACTATTTAAAAAGGTTAACCACTGCACGTGCTGGCAGGGTCAGGGCAGAACTGGAATTTTTATATACAGTGGGTTAGTGGGAAGGCAAAGAGAATGACCCTTCTGGGTCACAGTTCCCCGTATTTTAAATGTAAAACATTCACCTACACTGCAATAGTTTTAGAAGTAAAACATACATCTCTATAGAAACTGAAGATAAAATTTTAAAACCCCAAAACGGGAAATAACCAAAACTTAGACCAATAGATAAATTCAGTGCCATAGAGCACAGTACTACTCAGCAATAAAATGGAAATAACCAAAACTTAGATAGACCAATAGATAAAAATTCAGTACCATAGAGCACAGTACTACTCTGCAATAAAAAAACGTAACTATCCACATAAACATTAGTCTTGAATCTGAAAATAACTGTGTAGCATGAAGGTAACCAGTATTTTTTAAAGACTACACACCTTGTACTGCTTACAAAATTATGAAAAATATGAACTATTCCACTGTAAAAGAAGGAAAATCCATGACTGCATGGAGGGCTGAGAAAGGCAGGGAGATTATAAAAGGGCAGCAAGAATATACAGGATGTGGCACAAATAGATGTAGAGTTGATGGTATGGAAATTGATACAATAATTATTATTACAGGAACAAACTCTTCCCTGTCAGTGAGCCTCAGCTGGTTGGGCACCATCCCTTGCCCTGAAAGTCACGGGTTCCATTCCTGCCTGGAGGCCCTGTAGGTGGCGGGCAGGAGGCAGCTGTTAGCTGCATCTTTTCCATATCACCATTTCTCATTCTCTGCCTCCTTCCCTCTCTTTCTAAAAAGCCAACAAATTATTTTAAAGATACATAAAATACTTATTTTTAAAAATGAGAATAAACTCTTAGTTTTGCATATTGACATCTTTAAGCCTACTTATGGCAGCAAATATTGTCAAGCAGTGAAGACAATTGCCATCAGAAACAAAAGGAATCACAAAAGACACATCCTGGGACTGATTACATGCTTATCCTGCCTCTAGCTTGGAGGTCTTGCCTGGTGAGCAAACCCTGAAGTGAACACCCTAGATGGGCGAGGGGAATCCAAACAACTATTACATTATTTTTTCTGCCAATTATTTCAGCCACAGGAGACAGTGCTGGAGGTCCTGAGAATGTCTGTACAAAAGATCACACAAGCCACAGCCCACCGGCTATTTGTGGATAACACTGAGAAGAAGCACTTTTCAGGTAATTTACTCCAGTCTTATCCAATCACTATGAACACAGTGTTTCTGTCCTAATTGTGGTTCAATCTCAACGCTTAGTGTCTGGAAAACCAATGGCATCAGCCTATGACATTTTATATATTATATTACCTGGCTCCTTTACAGTATGTGGGTAAGAATGCCCTGAAACATTGCTGAGAATTATGTAATAAATGCTGGGAATAGAGAATACTTTTCATATTGTTCACAGAGGCACAACAAAGGCCTCCTTTTCTGGGTGACCATGACATCACCAATAATAGAGGCACCAGGCTGCAAATCAGAACCACAAAGGCATGCACACTTTCTCTCAGGGCCTTGTTCAGCAACATAAAATAGGCCAATATTGGACAAAGAGTGCTGTTCTGATATCATGCTGTGCTTTCCAAAGCACAAGAAGTTTGGGACCCACCATATCTGTTCACCTCTCCATGCTGACAAAGCACTATTTTCCTTTCAATCATCCCAAGGAATTAAAAGAACCAACAGAATTAGAGGTACAAAAGAAAAAAAAAAACCCTTTAAGAAAGATCATAAACCAGAGCAAAGGACAGCAGGATGGTGAATAGGAACCTGGAACAATTCCCCACAGCATAATGTGAGAACCACAATGTCCCTGTGAGAGGTAGCACTTCTTAGCTGAGGATGGGTGCTCTGGATGAAACCTGAGTCAGGTCAATTCTCCAGTCAGAGAGAAAAGAACGAAGATACAGTCAAGAGCTGAAAGTATTCATAAGTTTCTCAAGCAGAAGGAAGAACACAGAATTCCTTTTCCCTGAGCACACAGGGGTGGTGACGGGTGCACACTGTTCAGTGAGCCAGGTGGTAGAGGAGGTCACTTCAGCCACAAATCCTCACAGTGACATCCATGAGGCAGGAGTGCTGGGAAGTTAGCAAGTGCAATGCAGCTCTTTCAGGCTTCACTTACACCTCAAACTTATGAGGAATTTTGCAGTGTATGCTCAGATAAAAGGGGGTTATACTCAGGTAAATGGTTATACTGCAGTGGTGTAGGGTGAGAAAGATAAAACTTCCTCTGCACATTTAAGGCTTTGCTCCAATGTGAACTCTCAGATGTCTAACAAGGCTAGGGTTGCTGCTAAAACATTTCCCACATTTGCTACACTCATACGGCTTTTCTCCAGTGTGACTTCTGTGGTGCTCCATGAGTGAACGTCTTTGACTAAAGGACTTTCCACACTCACTACACTCATACGGCTTTTCTCCGGTATGAACTCTGTGGTGTTCAATAAGCTTGGACTTTCGTCTAAAGAACTTCCCACAATCACGACATTCAAAAGGTTTCTCACCAGTGTGAATTCTCTTGTGTTCAGAGAGGTCATAGCTTCTCCTGAAGGACTTCCAACAATCGGTACACTCATAAGGTTTTTCTCCAGTGTGAACTCTCTTGTGGTAAAGGAGAGTATTAGTGCTCCTAAAAGATTTCCCACAATCAGTACACTCATAGGGTTTTTCTCCAGTGTGAATATGGTGGTGTTCTGTGAGCTGAGAGCTTTGCCTGAAGGACTTTCCACAATCACTACACTCATATGGCTTTTCTCCAGTGTGAGCTCTCAGATGTCTAACAAGGCTAGGTTGCCATCTAAAACATTCCCCACATTTATAACACTCATGGGGCCTTTCTCCAGTGTGACTTCTGTGGTGCTCCATGAGCGAACGTATTTGTCTAAAGGACTTTCCACAATCACTACATTCATACGGCTTTTCTCCGGTATGAACTCTATGGTGTTGAAGGAGGTTCCCCTTTCGTGTAAAGAACTTCCCACAGTCACTACATTCAAAAGGTTTGTTGCCACTGTGAATTCTCTTGTGTTCAGAGAGGTGACAGCTTCTCGCGAAGGACTTTCCACAATCAGTACACTGATAGGGTTTTTCTCCAGTGTGAACTCTCTTGTGGATAAGGAGCTTACTATTTCTCCTAAAAGATTTCCCACAATCAGTACACTCATAGGGTTTTTCTCCAGTGTGAATATGGTGGTGTTCTGTGAGCTGAGAGCTTTGCCTGAAGGACTTTCCACAATCACTACACTCATATGGCTTTTCTCCAGTGTGAGCTCTCAGATGTCTAACAAGGCTAGGTTGCCATCTAAAACATTCCCCACATTTATAACACTCATGGGGCCTTTCTCCAGTGTGACTTCTGTGGTGCTCCATGAGCGAACGTCTTTGTCTAAAGGACTTTCCACACTCACTACATTCATACGGCTTTTCTCCAGTGTGACTTCTGTGGTGGTCTGTTAGCAAACATCTTTGTTTAAAGGACTTTCCACACACACTACACTGATACGGCTTCTCTCCGGTATGGACTCTGTGGTGTTGAATGAGGTTCCCCTTTAGTCTAAACAACTTCCCACAGTCACTACATTCAAAAGGTTTTTCCCCACTGTGAATTCTCTTGTGTTCAGAGAGGTGTAAGCTTAATCTGAAGGACTTCCCACAATCAGTACACTCATGTGGCTTTTCTCCAGTGTGAATTCTCTTGTGGTCAAGGAGTGTACCCTTTCTCCTAAAAGATTTCCCACACT